ATATGAAGGTTACAGCTCTGTAATATGAAGGTTACAGCTCTGTAATATGAAGGTTACAGCTCTGTAATATGAAGGTTACAGCTCTGTAATATGAAGGTTACAGCTCTGTAATATGAAGGTTACAGCTCTGTAATTTGAAGGTTACAGCTCTGTAATTTGAAGGTTACAGCTCTGTTTTTGCGACCAATCTATTTTTGTACCCATTTACATTGAATTGACATTTTGACTTGTGATACAGGTTTTTCAAATAAAAATAATTTAATCAATAAACTGTGGAAAATTATATCACACTTACAGAAGACTTTGTCTTTATTTGTTGTGTAAGAAATGTTTTTATGTGTGTGTGTAAGAAATGTTTTTATGCGTGTTTAAAAAATGTTTTTATGTGTGTGTGTGAGAAATGTTTTTATGTGTGTTTAAAAAATGTTTTTATGTGTGTGTGTAAGAAATGTTTTTATGTGTGTTTAAAAAATGTTTTTATGTGTGTGTTTAAGAAATGTTTTTATGTGTGTTTAAAAATGTTTTTATGTGTGTGTTTAAGAAATGTTTTTACGTGTGTTTAAAAAATGTTTTTATGTGTGTGTGTAAGAAATGTTTTTATGTGTGTTTAAAAAATGTTTTTAATGTGTGTGTGTGTAAGAAATGTTTTTATGTGTGTTTAAGAAATGTTTTTAAGTGTTGTGAAACAAATGTTTTTGTTGTGCAGTGTTAGGAACTTTTTTGTTAGAATGCTGCTAGATCTGTGAATTTAATTTCTGTATACAATTGAATGCAATCATTTTAATAAATTAGCTGCAGCTTTAATTTTACGATATTGACAGCAATCTATCATTCAACACAATATGTCCCTGCGATTTTCTCACGAATTAAAACGGCTAAAAATTTTAATTACATAGTAAATAAAAAAATAACTACATACAAGTGACACAGCAGACACACAAGGTAGAAAAGACATGTGACACAGCAGACACACCAGGTAGAAAAGACAAGTGACACAGCAGACACACCAGGTAGAAAAGACACGTTATACAGCAGACACACAAGGTAGAAAAGACACATGTGACACAGCAGACACACAAGGTAGAAAAGACACAGCAGACACAAGGTAGAAAAGACATGAGTGACACAGCAGACACAAGGTAGAAAAGACCCAAATGAGACAGCAGACACAAGGTAGAAAAGACACAAGTGACATAGCAGACACAGAAGGTAGAAAAGACACAAGTGACACAGCAGACACACAAGGTAGAAAAGACAAGTGACACAGCAGACACAAGGTAAAAAAGACACAAGTGGCACAGCAGACACACAAGGTAGAAAAGACACAGCAGACACACCAGGTAGAAAAGACATGTGACACAGCAGACACACCAGGTAGAAAAGACACAAGTGAGACATAGAACATTAAAAGCCCTCCCGGATTCAATGTCTGAAATTCGGGAATCCACCCTAAGAAATAAAATAAATGTATTTATAGATTTCTTATTATCGTCATTTTTCGGGTGCTTCCTGAATTTGGCTACCTGCGCCTACGTCATTTGGCCCCTGCTTTCCACTGCCCTGATGACACAGTAGACAACAATGAAACAGTGTGCACATGACACAAACAAACACAACACGGTAGACACACATGACAGTAGACGATGACGATTCAGTAGACACACATGACACAGTAAACACAAACACAACACTGTAGAACAAACACACACAACACGGTAGACACACATGAAACAGTAGACAGAAACACAACACAGTAGACACAAATGACACAAACACACACAACACGTTAGACACACACGACACATCTGACAGTAGACGCTAATGATTCAGTAGACACACATGACACAGTAGACACAAACACAACACAGTAGAACAAACACACACAACACGGTAGACATAGATGACACAAAAACACACAACACAGTAGACACAAATGACACAAATACACAACACGGTAGACACAAATGACACAAACACACACATCACGGTAGACACACATGACACATCTGACAGTATACACTAATGATTCAGTAGACGCACATGAAATAGTAGACACAAACACAACACTGTAGACACAAATGACACAAACACACACAACACGGTAGACACACATGACACAAACACAGGAGACACAAATGACACAAACACAC